TATCCCCAAGGACTAATCCCCAAAGCTTTTACACTAGGGGGCCTTCTCTGGCGGTGTATTCCATATCGTACCCTTAAAACACTTATGCAAATGATGCATGTCAATCAAGACTCTATGCATTCTCATATCACATTATCATTTCCCATGGTCATATCACATCATCACATTCGTCATCACATTTCATCATCATATTTCATTATCACGTTTCATATCTCATGTCTCAATCACATTTCACATTAGATCATCATATCACATTATCACATTTTCTCATCATGTTCACAAAGCCTCACAGAGCACTTTAATTTATATTAAAACTCGTTTATTTATAAAATTAAATACATATTTTAACATCACATCAAACAAGGAATATAACAGAATAATCAGAAATTAAAACATAAAATATTCATATTTTTCCTATTTCTCATAGGGTTTCCCGCAGGAACCCATAGAGCACTTTAAATCATATCAAAACATATTTATTTTCAAAATTAAGCACATACTTACACTCAACAAATATCAAGAAACACAACAGAAAACTCAGAAGGTAAAACAGAAAACATTTAAAATTTGCCTCTTACAATTATCAATACATTCTCTTAGGGTTTCCTATAGGAACCCATAGAAATCTCAATTCATACAGTTGGGAAAAACCCCTCATACATAGACATACAAAAAATACAACAAACACAGGATTGGGGGCCAATCCCACTACCCAGCATACAATCCCACACCCAGAGCAAGATTTCTCACTCCCCCCTTACCTCGATAAGCAGAAGCCGAATCTTGTTTGGTCGCCCCCTCTAGGTTTCCCTTCGCCTTCAGAGAGGAAGGAGGAAAAATATTGGAAAATGAAAAAATGAGTTTTAGAGAGTGCAAAACGCTCTATTTATAGGCACATAGAACATGGTCAAAAATCTCTCCCAGAACGGCCCGTTCCAAACCCAGAACGGCCCGTTCTGAGTCAAGACTTTGTCCTTTATAAACACATCCGGAACGGCCCGTTTCCAAAGTGGAACGGCCCGTTCTGGGTTAAAATTTTACCCACGCATGCTTGATTTGGAACGGCCCGTTCCCAAACTGGAACGGCCCGTTCCAGAGCTATGAAAATTCAGAATTATTAATTAATAAATAAATAAATAACATATATATATATATATATCAAATTAAAATAAAATATCAATATAATTTAAAACATGATTTTCTTCAAATAATAATTATAACAAAATATCATAATTAATAATATTTATACAAAATAATTTTCATAAATGATTATTATTAAAAACCTTTAAAACTTCAATCAAACCCATTTAATTAATCAAAATAATTATAAGGAAATAATCTTCATAAATACAAAAATAAATAATAATTATTCGTAGTATTAATAGGAAAAATTTGGGGTGTTACATGTAGCTTACTCATCAGAACTTCACAGTTAAGCGTGTTTGACCTAGAGTAGCACAGGGATGGGTGACCTTCTGGGAAGTTTCCCAGAAATTGCACAAGTAAGAATAAAACACGCTAAACAATGAAATATCGTGAAATAGAACCCTTGAGAGGCCAAATATGAGGGTTGTTACATTAATAAATTTATTAAAATTAAAAAAAATTATAATTTTCGATGAAAAATTCCTTCAAGGTAATTTCCCACGGATAAAAATCCGTCGGTAAATATTTCAGACGAGCAATTTACTGACGGATTAGTATCCGTCGGTAATCCGTCGAAAATGCACTATTACCCACGGATTTTTGGCATTTCCCACGGATTCTGGCCGTCTATAATAGCAAATTTTCTTGTAGTGTATGACTACGAGAAGTTCTTTGTTTGAGACTATGTGAATATGATGTGAAAATGTAAAAAGTGAACATATGATCTGTGATATGATATTATGAGATAATGTGACATGAGATATGATGAGACGTGATAATTGAAACGTTAAGTCAATGAAATAGTGAATGTATGACATGCATCATGTGCATATATGACTTCAGGTGTGCTGCTTAGGCCACATGCTAGTGATGTATTGAGCTATTCCAGGTGTACCTTGGGTCACCAGTGATGAAATGATCTATTCTAGGTGTGCCGCTTAGGCCGCATGCCAGTGATGTATTGAGCTATTTCAGGTGTACATTGGGTTACCAGTGATGTATTGAGCTATTTCAGGTGTGCCGCTTAGGCCGCATGCCAGAGATGTATTGAGCTATTCTAGGTGTATCTTTGGTCACCAGTGATGTATTCTGAATGAACGTGCCCCTAAGTATGTTGCTGTAGCAGCATACCAGTGATAAGAAATGTGCAACTTCCGTATGGCGCCACATGCATGCATTTATGAGTCGAGTCCATGACATTATTGCATGATAAGTGAATGTATATGTATTCTAATGTATCTATAACTTGAGAGTTATGATTGGTTATGTGTAACTTGTGTGGTATTTGTTATGGGTGTATGTGTGTTGCCTAACCTTTATTTCTACATCTGAACCACAGTGAGATGTTTCTCACTCCCTTGTGCGTCTATGTGTATTGTGTTGCAAATGATCATCAACATGAGGATATTGGTGATGAGGTTAAGTCTTATTGTGGGGTGTGCTCTAATAATACATGTGACATCGGGGCTTAGTTAGGATTAGCATTGGAGTTTCATTACTATTATTGTGTTTTGGAAAGATTAATGTTTTATTTTGTCATCATTTCTACATTGAACTATAATTTGCGAAATATGAATGTGAACTCTCTATCTAGGTGTTTTTGGAACCTTATTTTGATTAAAAAAAATTATTTACTTAGGAATGTACTTTATATTTATTGTGTATTATGTATTATGTATGTGGGGTAGAGAGTGTCACACTATATCTAGCCCCACATCACTTAATGTCAATTTCTACAAGATGCTTTGTCGGGCATGGGCTCAGCCACACCAAGAACAAATGTGATAGACACCCTAATCTCTAATCACTGGACACAAGCAAGTCTGGTTAGGCGCAAAGTCAAAAACTTATCAAGAGCTTGATCACGAAGATGTTGAACGAAAGACATTAATAAAATGTGTGCATTGTACAACTCAACAACAAAGTTCAATCTTTTGGAGAGATAATTTGGGAATTACAAACTCAATTTTAAATACTTGAGGAAAAAGGGATCGAACTTTGTTATGACATACGTAATTAATTATTTCAAAATGACTAGTGGAAAATATAAGTTGTATGTATATATTGTTATTATACTGTGTGTTTTCTTTTTGGAAACAGGTTTATTCCTTCAAACCAATAGACAACCGCACGCAAAATGAGAGTAGTTTAATCAAGTTAGCTCACTACTGACTCACACCTAGTTAAGTCTGTTAACATTTAACCTTAAGAAATTATCAGGGCTTGCAAAAGAATGTCACGGAAATCCATATGCATGTTTCCTCATGGGTTACTCACTTTAAAGAACAAAAAAAAATATCACAAATATGAATTTCAACAGAGATAAGTCAGTTGTGGTATATTATTAAATGCTTACTCGAAGGGGTGATTAGAAACCTGTTTGATCTACCCTGAACAGTAATTTTACACTTTTCAATATATAAACAAAGTTGGTGTTGTATTGGCATTATATGTGGATTTAGTTGAATCCAACTGGTATCCAAACAACATACAAGAAGGAAGCCATGTTATCAAAAGCGCTGTAGACAGCATTAAGAAATCACATCTTGGTTAGCATGGTAAAATGAATGGTATAATGTTTTCATATCCTGAGGCTGATAAAACATTGGGATTTTCTCGTCTCCGTTTTAAGCATAATGTTTAAAATATTTTTATTTATGTTTTAAAATTTAAAATTACAAGGATACAAATGTAATTGATTTTTAAAACTTCTCCCCTTCCTTTATAAACCAAATAAGAAAACAATTCCTTTGAATTTTTTCTTCTTTCAACTAAACAAAATTTCTACCTCTCGTTTGTCCTCCCTTCCTCTTCCCTGCATTAAAATCTTTCTTCTCGCCTCTCTACCTTTAAACCAATTAGACCCTAATAAACTAACACACCAACCACATATATCTTCATAAAAAGCAAAAGTAAAACATCAAGAATATTGATATTCAAGAATATATAAAACTGGGTTTTGGATTTGATAGCTGAAATGGCTTACATGTATTAAAACCATAGTTTATTAATCAGTTCTTCCCTGTTTTTTTTGCCTTACGCATTGCTCGAGTTATCTATAATAAGGACTTACCTGGTTTGCCAATTTTCGGACAAACTGGCCGATGTAAACCTGTGGAAATAATAGAGGAATGCCATGCAATACAATATTATTAGACAAATGTGAATCAAAACGTAATTCTTTGAAATACTGTACGAGCACGAAAAATATAACATTTTCCAGTGGCTATCTATATTAACTACTTAAAGCCATATGTCCCATGGCTGAAGGTATTATATAACCGGCGTAAAAGAAAAATTAGTAAAAGCATTCGCTTATGAAATTTACATTGCAGCTACTTAAAACAAGAGCCAGCAAACTACTACGAATTTACATTTTTCACCCTCAACCCCCACACAAGCTACATATAGAGAAAAAAAAAATGGAAAGTGTAATCAAATTAGAAAAAAAAATAAAAATGAAAGAAGTGAAATTACAAGATCACAATCAAATGCCTATTCTCTCCTATTATGCCAATCCCAGCTTCCCTTGATGCTTTATATTGGATGGAAGCCAAATGCAATTGATGGCACGTTCTTGCTTAAAGTCCTGTCAAAACGTTATAATATGAGCCAGGTTATCACATCAATGAGCCAGGTCCTCACTCCCAACACCAATGCTCGACTTGTCAATCGTGCGCACATTGTACTGTTCATATACTCTTGCCCGATTCTCAGCCCACCATTGTTCTGCTTGTTTCTCACTAAACCGCTTACGACTGCATTCACCAATGCAAAGGTTAATGTTTGAAATGCAAAATAGCTATCTTAATTGCTAGTAAGGCTTTCTTTTCCCATCATAAACAAAATAGAAGTATAAAAGCATTTGGGGACGAAATTGTTTGTCAAAGCTTACACCCTATGTATATCATACTTTACATGAGAAATTGCCAACACATTACACTCTTTGC